TCTCGGGGGGCACCTCTGCAGCACAGCTTCCTCACCGACGTGTCCGACGTCTGCGAGATGGAGGGAGGATTGCTCAGCCTCCTCAGCGACTTCCACTCGGGAAAGCTGCAGGCATTTGGTGAGGGATGGGGCTGGGGGCATGGGGATGGGCTGGGGAGGGGTGACAGCTCCTGGCCTGGCACAGGGAAGGAGTGGGCAGGGATGTGATGGCTCTGCTGTGGCACAGGGAAGGATGTGATGGCTCCTGGCAGGGAAGGAGTGGGCAGGGGATGGCTCTTCTGTGGGCACAGGGAAGGGGTGGGATGTGGGATGTGATACCCTGGCCCAGGGAAGGAGTGGGATGTGGGATGCTCTGCCCTGGCGCAGGGAAGGAGTGGGATGTGGGATGCTCTGCCCTGGCACAGGGAAGGAGTGGGATATGGGATGCTCTGCCCTGGCCCAGGGAAGGAGTGGGATGTGGGATGTGATACCCTGGCCCAGGGAAGGAGTGGGATGTGGGATGTTATGCCCTGGCACAAGGAAGGAGTGGGATGTGGGATATGATACCCTGGCCCAGGGAAGGAGTGGGATGTGGGATATTATGCCCTGACACAGGGAAGGAGTGGGATGTGGATGTGATACCCTGGCCCAGGGAAGGAGTGGGATGTGGGATGCTCTGCCCTGGCGCAGGGAAGGAGTGGGATATGGGATGCTCTGCCCTGGCCCAGGGAAGGAGTGGGATGTGGGATGTGATACCCTGGCCCAGGGAAGGAGTGGGATGTGGGATACTCTGCCCTGGCCCAGGGAAGGGGTGGGATGTGGGATGTGATGCCCTGGCACAGGGAAGGAGTGGGATGTGGGATGTGATACCCTGGCCCAGGGAAGGAGTGGGATGTGGGATGTGATACCCTGGCCCAGGGAAGGAGTGGGATGTGGGATGTGATACCCTGGCCCAGGGAAGGAGTGGGATGTGGGATGTGATACCCTGGCCCAGGGAAGGAGTGGGATGTGGGATGCTCTGCCCTGGCACAGGGAAGGAGTGCTCCTTCGAGCAGCTGGAGCACGTGCGGGAGATGCAGGAGAAGCTGGCACGGCTCCACTTCGGCCTCGACGTGTGTGTGGAGGAGCTCCCTGAGGAGCAGAAGAAAGCAGCAGCCGACAGGAACCTGGACCAGCTGCTGGGACATGTGAGTGTCACCAGCCCTTGTCCCTTGCCATGTCTGGGAGTCTTCCTGGCCCTGGCAGTGCCTCAGCCTCTGCCTTTTCTCCCACAGCTGGAAGAGCTCAGCAGCTCCATGTATCCTTGGCTGGGTGTGGGGACTGTGACAGTAATAGTGACGATGGTGGTGTTTGATCTCAGTGCTGGTGACAGTGGCAGTGAGGGCAGTGATGGAGGTGGCAGTGATGGTGTTGGTGGTGGTGGTGGTGGCAGTGATGGAGGTGGCAGTGGCAGTGATGGTAGTGGTGATGGTGCCAGTGGCAATGGATGGAGGTGGCAGTGACAGTAATGACAGTGATGGCACTGGTGATAGTGATGACAGTGGTGGCAGTGATGGATGTGGCAGTGATGACATTGATGGCACTGGTGATAGTGGTGACAGTGATGGTGGCAGTGATGGATGTGGCAGTGGCAGTGATGGCTGTGATGGCAGTGATGGCACTGGTGATAGTGGTGCCAGTGGTGGCAGTGATGGTGGTGGCAGTGGCAGTGA